ATTTTGCTCTTAGAGTATAGCAGCACAAACTTTTTTTCTAAACAAATCGATTGGTTTACCATCTTATCGTGGCGTGATCGAGAGTTTTTATAGATATCAAATTGCGTTTCGTGAAGTCAAGGGACTCTTTTTTCTCCTCTGATAACGCTTTTTTATGTATCTGAAATATGGGAAGGGAGGTATTGCATCACAGTGTTGTAATACGTCTTTTTTCGATAAAAAAGGTAATGGTCTCAGCGTTGATCGTTCTCTGAGGGATGAACCACTCATTTGACTTCATTGAGCATCGTTAGAGGAAACTGAATGCATATCTGGCCTATACAATGATTCGCGGTGATCTACTAATGTATCGAGTCGGTAGCGCTGTCCTTCCATACAAGGCTGGTACCAATTTACTAACCTCGGGCGGATGGAGAGCTTGGTGGGCCTATGGTGCCTGTTCGGTCCTATATGTATTGCGCAGCGCCTATAGCTTAGTTGGAATTTCCCTAGAATTGAAGCCGGTTTTGGTTCGGTTTTTCTCCAATGAATTCCACGTAATTTAACTGTTTGTGCAATTAAAACACGTTCTTGTGCTGTTTTGCAGAGCAAATGATGAAGTTATTTTCAATCCATCTACTGTAAAGTAGGCCTCGGAGACAGAGGACTGAAATTTTTGTTCTAAATGTCATAAAGATGACAAGATGATGCCAGCCGCTATTCTATTGCCTTGTGCGTTCATCTTTTATTGAACGGATCACCTCAACGTATATAGCGAATAAGCAGTTAGGATACTCTTTTAAGAAAGCGATGAGTTGTTAGCTATAAGCCATGGAAAATTATTCCATCGTGGTTGGTCTAGAGAATCCTGTGGAAATTACTAAATTAGCACTCGACACGATGACCTATTTTGTTTGAAACTGCCCACATTCACAACACAAAACTGCACAGCTTGTCCGAATGTCAGAGATGATGACTGCGTGAGTTCAGGTTCACTGTAGCTGATCTTTTGTAATATGTGCATAGACGAATACTTGAGTAAAGCTGGTAGACCATTTGTATCTACAAGAAAGAACACCATAGAAAATTTAAAATTTGGCAGAACATTCTACTAGGTGTAAATGGGAAAAGGATGCACAACGGCGTTGATATTGAAGTCTGGCAGGGCGGAAGACACTTCAGTCGCTTTAAATGAGCTTCAGAAATTCGACTATGGTCGGATAAGGATAAGGATAAGGCTCTCGGCGTTGATCAATCCCTGAAGAATGCTCTATGCGTTCGATTTCATTAAGTATCACTAGAGGTGATTGAGTGCACGTCTGGCCTTTACAGTGACTCACGGTGACCTACCGGTGTACCGAGCCAGTGCTGCTATCCTCCCAGACAAGTCTGGCACCAATTCGCCGAACCCAGAGGGATGGAAGGCTTGGTGGACCATGGACGCGGGGATCAGTTCCACGTGTGTGTCGCAGCGGCACCTCTAACCGCTACGCCACACGCGCCACACTATGATCGGAACGGACGAATACTAGATCATCATCGTACACCAATTAGCATGAAATCTCAGATTAGTTTCTTGGTATAAGGTAATCTTGCTTACGATTCTGAGCGAGCAACATATTAGTGATCTCACCCTCTGATAATAAGATAGCAGAAGATCAGTTAGTGTTTTCCGAGCTTTTAGCATGGTTTGTGTTTGATTTTTGATATTTTATCGAGCTTATTAAATTATTCAACCGACGAAGACTGTCAGAAATGATGGAAAGCGAAGTAGGCGAAATGTTAGTTGATAAGGCCAAAAGGCATGTCAACAATTCTTATCAGCCCAAAGAACACTTTGTAGGGACGGAATTCCCATTTTTCACTTGTGAATGTCAGGTGGATCCGATAAACGCAGGCCGTGTTGGGCAGTATTCTTCAGGACTGTATAGGAATGCTGTGTCATCGCTTTACTGTTTGGGAAAATCAGACTGCTTTTATGTTATTGGTAGATCGTTTGCTTTTTCTTCTCGTCTTAACTTGGTCAAAGTTGGTACTGCTTATCAAATTGGTATGCGAAGTAGGCGGTTTTCCCCGGCATTCTCATATCGCTGAAAAAGAATTCACCATTTCCAATCAAAAGCACAACGATGAGTAAACGATGTGTGCCACTGTTTTCTCTCAATCAAGAACCAAAGAACGGAGAGTCTGGGTAAACAAAGCTGTATGTCTTAGTCCGCACTTATTAGCATATCTCATAGGACTTTTCAGCAATGGTTAGTTCCCATGTGGAGAGTGGGATGGAGCATAAATCGGAGACATATTTTTGTTTTTTTTTCAAATTCGCCACAATTATCGGGACAGCAGTTGTCATGTCGCGGTAACGATTCGTCGTCGTTTGTTCTCGGGAACCCGTATGAAACGTTTGTGTGTATTCTCTGGTCGAATTCATACCGTCACACCGCTACAACAATTTCCAAATCATCTGTAGCTGTCGACTCCCACCAACATCTTTTATATACTCCATTGTCTGTATTCGCCTACTAAATTTTGAGTTACTAACACTGAAACCGACTTTTCGTTTCTATATTCATCTATCAGGATCCGATTTATTCTTCGATGGTCGGTCGATAAATCGCAGAATTCGCTGCAGTCGGTTGTCGTTGTCAAGTCGAGTCATCGAAGCATGCTTTATTGCGATCCAAAAAAGCTGACAACTTCCTGTATAGACATTCTGAGAGAACACCCTAGCATGGCTATCTCGAGTTCTCAGGGAAAATCATGCACGATCAACATTAGGTTTCTTAACGTAATGTGAAGCTGTAGCCAAAGCCTTACCAGCTCAACTCTCCGTAGATAGAAGTGGAAGACACCAAAAGCATTGGAAGAGGTACTGCGGCACGCATGATATATGAAGTAGGGTCATCGATGTAAGTAAATACTCATCAATCAAGGAGACGAGTCATGATGTCAAACGAACGTGTTCCATTTTGATTTATGTTCGTTCGTCCTTCATATTACTGTACTGTTTGTTTCTCCTTTTGCCGAAGAAAATTTTCGAGATTACCCTAACGGTCGTTGTTTCCATGAACTGTTCAGGAGGAGATAACTCTTGGAGGCATTCAAACCAAATAACGTTTCGCTGTCTTCTTGACGTCAAAGCGACAAAATTTCCACGGTTTCCATTCTACGAATAGCACAAATTCGCATGTTTGTTTTATTTACAGTCACAAACTTGGATTAATCAAATATGTTTTGCTAAGTAAGGGACATATAGCACTACATCTCATTCAGTGACGTAGAGCGGAGGAAATTCCATTATCAGCGCCACTCCTTTTGAGATTCTTCGACTTTTTTGTCCATTCTAAAAGTGCTTCTTTTCAAACTAGCGACTTCTGGTTGTCGTATGTCTCTATCATGTAGCTCTGGACTTAAAATCAGCTGTTTGGTTTCGCAATTATAGCGATGTTATAGGTAACCCGCGGTGAATACGTAATCGTTGGTTCGTCTCCGCATCCTGACCCAACGAGGCTCTCCCATATTTCCGAGCTCGGCGAATTGGTACCAGAGTATTCTGGATGGATAAAAACTGGGGATTCGTGGATTGATGGATTACTGCAGGTCATTGAATAGGTCGAATATGCCTTCATTCATGTTCGAATGGCATGGCGCAATACTAAGGAGTTGGTTAAATCCAAAGGGTTTATCCCCTTTTCCTTTAATGGTATTGACACTTTCTAGGACTTGATGAGACCTTTGTCCATTATGAAGTTTCTGAACTTTTTCAACTTGCTGATATCTGTTGCGGAGAACAGTTCTATCATCAGGTTCTTGTCCGTTTTTATGAATCGACATTGTGTTTATACAGTGTTCATTCCACGATTGCTAACATTTCGGAGAATTGTGCCTTCTGCAGAATCGTTTCAGTCGTCCTCTTGGTATGGAAAGTACCTCATCCGTGCTTTTCTCCGTTTCGTTTCCGATGTCGTGTTTCGTTTTTCATTTTGTTTCCAATTCACTTTAATCCTTCCAGTTTTCTTTTTTGATTTGTGCCAAATCCAGTGTTTCTAAGAGGAAATCTGTAAGTAGAAATCTGTCTTTGTAACAAAGGTTCACTAGATGAACTCATTCAGACTTATCTTAAGTGCATGAACCGATAGAGATCCTTTTTTAAACAAGTTGATTTAGCGTCTCTTCCATTAGGGATAACAAGTTTCGAATGTGATGGATCGGATTTCGTTCTGTTATCGTTTTTCTTCTTTGTCTACTCGTTTTCCGTGTTATTGTTCGCCTTCTTTCTCTTTGATGAGTGAAATCAACGATAAACTCAGAGAAAATTTCTCTCTAATCCACTAATAGGCACGAACCATTCCGTGAAATGTCTTCCGAGGAGGACACGGCGCTATTCGATAAACGCGTGGAACCTGCCACTCAACAGCAGTTCACATCAAATCCATCACACGTTTCACACTCTATACTGATTCAGCCCAGTAAGTGTATGAAGTCGACAGCTCGGAATGCTCTTTTATTCACAAGAGCGATTTTTTCTTCACTTTGGCGTTGATCAATAGTTCACTGTCTTTCTTGATGAGCAAACACGAGATTAGTATTACGGTATTTATTCACATAGAATAGCTGACACTTCAGCGGTTTCGTCTTCTTCAAAGTCTGGAAGAACCAAGTTGACACGTAGTCAATTCAGCCAAACACTCTTAACAAACGCACACAAAACATAACACATTGATTTCCGTTCGCATAATACACAGTTTCTGGAGAGTTTTAAAGACAAAATATTTAAAAGAAGCTGTTTATTATACGAATGGAAATCAATGTGTTAAGTTTTGTCTGCTGAGCTTAAGAAAGTGTTAGGCTGAGTTGACTGCGTGCCAGTTTAACTTTTCCAGGCTCTGAAGAAAGCGAAACCGCAGAAGCGTCAGCTATTCTGTGCTAACAGATACTGTGATACCAACATCATGTTTGCTCATCAAAAAAGACAGTGAATTGTTGTCTTACTCTTTTGCTTTACGTTTCGTTTTTTCAGTCTGTTTATTAGTTTTTTCCTTTTTCCAGGAACGAAAACCAACGAACTTCTCGTCGTGCTCAAATCGATATCATTAAAGGGATTTTTTCGACTTTGGGGCACATTTATTGGGCAGTTTCCGATTGCTTTCCTTATATCCGGTCTTATTCTCTGTTCATTATCTTGTGAGTTTACTTCTATTAATGCATTTTTTGTGGTTAGATTCTGAATTCCAGTAAGGTCTTCTCTTCCAAGTGTTTACCGCGTCATCATGGCTGGGTGCTCCTGTGTGTCGGGCTGCGATGTACAGCAAGTGAATTCATCTCTCCGGCACGGTCTCCCAAGCTGAGGAGTCCAGCGTTTCCATCAGGGAGCCCAGCTAAGAGTAAACCATTACCAGGATCCACCACCTTTCTGCTATCAAACTAGTCGCATGGTGTCAAATCTCCCTCTGATCGACAAGGGCGGCGACTACCTGTGGTGGTGACGACCTGGGGCAGACTTTGGCTGGGTTGATCTCGGGACTCCAGGGAACTGCAATGGCTATCCAGCAAAACTCCGAAAAAGTTGTTCTGCTGGGACTCACACAACCAGTGAGGGCGGGCCATCCAAGTATCTAAGTAAGTAGGTAGAAAAGAACTCCGGCGTTCTATATTGTTCTCGTTGCTGATTGCTGTGTCATTACTTAATTCATGGCAGTATCACTACTGAAAATAGTTGTTTAAGGCGGAATTATTAATCTTCACTTACGGGATAACGTACGAGATGGTTATACTCCACGTACATCGCGTTCTCGGCAAGAGACCAATCTCTATAGAGAATTCCTTGGCTCAGAAGGTTTGGAATATCCTATTATTGTTTTTTTGGTAGGCCATAGATAAAATTCCTTGATCGGTTCGTTTTTCATACACATCTTGGTAAAAGAGCCCTTGAAAAGATCATTTTTGTTCTCTACAGGAGATCCTGCAATGACTACAGTACTTATGTTGGCCAAAGACAACGGATCGATGCATCGATTGAACTATCTACAAGTTGGTATTCTAATATTTTCATTAAAGGAAGAGAAAGAGCTCACCGTTGATCAATCACTTAGGAGGAATGTGCCATGTATTCAACTTCATTGGACATCTTTAGAAGTGATTGAATGCATATTTCACATATAAACTGGCATATGATGGTATGTCGATGTATGAAGCCAGTTTTCTCCCAATGGTTTACCGCCTCATCGTGGCTGGGTGGTGTTCCTGGGTGTCGATCTGTGATGTACAGCGGGAGGATTCATCACCCACCATGGCCTCCTAAGCTGAGAGGGAGTCCGGCGTTTCCATCAGGAACCCCCGATATGAGTAAACCAATATCAGGATCGACCATCGGCCTGGTATAGTGTGGTGTCAAAATGCTAAATCAGCAAAACTCTGAAAAATGGAAAGTTTGCTGGGACCCGCATAACCAGTGAGGACGGGCCATCCATGGATCCATGTGTAAAGCCAGTTTTCTTCCCTCCTTGAGAAGTCCAATACTAATTTGCCTACCGCGGATAGATGAGAGCTTTTGTTGGCACAGCGGGCGGAGTCGAGCCAGGAACCGTGTGTAGATTACTGTGCACCTCTGACCATTGTTCATCATTTTATTACGAACTAATGTCCATTCAGTCATTGGTTCTTCGATACTGCAAAAAAGGTTCAAATTTTTTTCCCTACTGGAAAGTCATCCAGCAATCGTCAAGCCTAGTCCAGTCAGAGGAAGAAGTTTTTATCACTTATTTAAAAAACGTTGAGATACGTAATGTCGAAACATGATTTCAGGAAGCCGTACAAACAATGGTGTATATCTCGAAAAATCTGTCCACTACCGTGTCCGGTGGCAGTACTGTCGGCTATGGTAATTTTTGCGGCCATTACTGCGATTCGAACGTTGTCGTGGGGTACTTCCTAGTGAGTTAATCAATCGTAGTTTTCAGATCGACTAGATACAAAAGAGCACGATTCTTTTTTATTCAGCAAGCACTATACCAGAAGACATTGGATCCTGGCTCTATGTCTCTGCAGCTGACATATCCGATAGCTGATCTGCGAGGCATAAAATTGCATTTAGAGCGAAATTTCTTTGGCGTTCAAACTACAGACAATTACAACATAACAAATATCGAGTATATTAAAGTGAGTTTCTCTTTTAGAGCGAGCCATTGCCTCTAGCCACCTTGTTGGATGACACCAATTTCTTTTTGCTACTCCCCTGTTTTTGTAAATTCAGATATCGAAGGGAATGAATTCCATGTGGAGGAATATTAAGTAACTCAATTGTTGTTTGATATCGTACCAGGATATCGTCGTTACAGAATTTCTTCTATTACTGAAAAATGCTTTATTTACGCAATTTTGCGAATTAATGTTCTCAAATGAAGACTGTGTACTTCAGTAATTCCATTAGGATGATCACGCATTTTTTAAAGAAGTCAGTCGAAATTATTGAGATGGAAATATGAAGCTTTTAGCTTGTCAAGCACCGGACTTCACCCCGATTCCTCGTTTTCTTTTTCATAAAATGAATGTTCCCGCTTAAGACATACTCCTTTGATTTATAATATCGTTGAGTTTTCTAGAAGGTGATTGGTCAAATTAATGTATTGCATTGATACTAACGTAGAGGCATTTTTTTTTTATTTTAGGTGATATCTATGTCATTCATGGCTGAGATGAAGACGGCGGCTGACACAGAACGACTTGGAGCATGGGAATTGGAGCTTTTCGACTACTGTTCCAAATATACCTCAGCTCATTCAAATATGTTAGAAGTGTTGGTGCGTAAGGAGGATTTAAGAAAAGAATTGAAGAGCTTAAGTAATGTCGATAGATGAATGAATGGTTCGATTCATTCATTGACTAAATGCGAATTTGATCAGCTGTTCTTCCTCAGTTTAAGTAATGTCCACGAGTTTGGCAAAAGGTTGACAGGAAAGGATGAATTACAAAACAATGGTTTTATTATTATCTCAAAGGTTGTGAGAATCTGCCTTGGAAGCTTTTTATTCCAGGTTATTGGTGCCGAAATCGTGGATACCGAAATGAACAAAGATGGCCAGCGAATGTCGCCGTACTTTGCCACAGGTTTGAATTTCTAAGTTTTTCTAGGTATATCTTCTCTTCACCGTATTTTCGTATGGAAAAATATTTCAAGCAAGCAGTTTGGTGGAAAATATTGGTAAATCAAAGTCGGGAAATGTTATCACTCTTTTACAGGTTTTTCTATTATGTTCGCCTTTGTCTGTATTACTGTATGTTTATCATCGTTGTATTTCGACCGTCTGCGCTGGAACACGGTAATTTTTTGCAATTCAATTTTTTATACCTTCTTTATACAAACAAATTTACTGTCCACTTTTAATAAGTGTCAGAGGGTGCGTGTGGCGCAGTAGTCGGAGGCGCCCTGCAACACACACGTGGAGCCGATCCCCGCGCTCATGACCCACTAAGCCTTCCATCTCTCCGGAGTCGGCAAATTGGTACCAGACTTGTCTGGGAAGATAGCACTGCCGACTCGATACATCGGTACGCCACTGCGAGTTATTGCAAAACCCAGATATGCATTCACTCACCTCCAGCGATGCCTAATGAAGTCGAACGTGTGGCGCATCTCTCAGGGATTGATCAACGCCGAGAGCTTTGTCCTTTATCCTTTATTGGAATTACGACGTTGATATCGAGAACTGTTGCTGTTGGGAAGATTGTGGATTGTATATTTCTCTACTACATCTTTGTTCAGGTAGTTGTCGCCGTCAGTTGTGCCATTGTGCCAGTGTTGGCGATCACCACCACATTCGGCTTAAGTTCATCGGTCGGAAACCGAACTAACTCGCTTATGCTCATCATGCCATTTCTAATCATGGGAATTGGTTAGAATATTTTTCCTTACTGATATTATCACGGCTGATGGACACGAATTGCACTAAGCTTGTCGTAAATAACATAGTAGTTACTCTATCACAATCATACCAAGTAATAAACGCTGAAATCGGCGCTTGCAAATTTTTCAGGAATAGGTGAATGTTATTTGTGGTAGAAGTGAAGATTTTGCAATATTACCTTTTGAAATACTTTTTTACTAAACCGCTTTAGTTCATGCACTGCATGTTTTGACCATGCATTTAATTTCGCCGGGGGGTGATTATTTATTATTGAATTCTGAAGAAAAATTTATTATAGGTGTGAATGATTCGTTCCTTACCGTTCACGCTTGGCTTCGTCAACCATTGCGTCTCTCGGCTGCTACTCGTTTGGGTAAAGTGCTTGAAGAGGTTAATTTCCAATTTAACGTTTTAGCACAGTAATATCTGGAATCGTGAATATTTTTGTTCAGGTTGGACCTTCAATTACAACCACAACACTTACCAATGTGGTCACGTTTTTGATTGGATGGCTTACACCAACAGAGGGTAACTGATTTTTAAACATATTTGAGGTTATTGAGAAATTTTCAAATAAATGACTTTATTTTCGAGTACTATTTAAAGTGATTTCCAAGCTTTTCAAAATAAAAAAAATCATTGGCATGTTATCGATTTTGCAGAAATATCGATTTTCTGTTTTGGTAGCGCAATGGCACTTGGTTTTGCTTATATTTACACCGTCATCATCTTTTGCCCGATACTCTATTACTGCTCACCTAAGGAAACTAAGGATGCTCACGAAGGATGTTTCAGACGGAAGGTAAACTAGTGGCACTTTTAAATGACTAATTGTGATGTAGTAAAACTGCGATAAAATCTGAAAGCTTTGACGGAACTCATAGATTTTGTCCTTATTCAGGGAAAGCGCTTCTTCCGAGGCGTTCTTCTTGGCTATAGCCGTGTGCTGTCGGATCATAGGATAGCATTGTTGTTGTTTATTGGAACTCTGGTTTACTGGTATTTCGGTATTATGGGTACGATCAGTATTACGGCTAAATTGGACACTGAGAAAATACTTCCGAAGGACACGCCTATCCATAGACCGAATCGTATTATCGAAAATATCGGTATGTATTGCCATTTGTCAGTTAAATTTGAGAAAGTCTAGTCATTAGTGCAATACTATGTACGCAATAGTGTCTGTTGATTTCGTCACTTGTAAGAAAACAGTTTGGTCTAGTCCAAAAAACACGTGGACATTGTCTTTTTTAGTGAATTCTGAATTTGTGAGGAACATTCTATGTTTTCCATGGTTTTTTTACTACATGGAATATCTGTGATCCAATTTGCAGTTTGGGCCGAATACTATCCGGTAACTGTAATTGTGAATAATCCTGTAGACGTGCGTGATGTCGACCGATTGAATTATGTAAAAGCCTTTGTGAACGAATTCGAGCAGCTTCCAACCTGTCGAGGTAGGCAAGTCTTGATTAATAAGCCTGTTATCCTCCATTTCATAATATATACATCCGTACTAATTTAGGCTCAAATTTCACAATATTCTGGTTACGAGACTATGTCGATTACTATTGGGGAGTCGGCGTTAACGACTTCGACTTCTATTTTGACGCAGATGAATATCCAGATGAAAAAGAATTTGGATATAAAAAGCTTGCTGGTTTTCTTGGAAATCCGCTTTATAAGCACCACAAGGCGTTTCTCAATATTGACTACAACCAAACGTAAGTGCTGCCAGTACTATACTATTTTTTCACACTACACCTCTTTTAAATCTACTATACGGATCCCAGAACTTCTTGCACTCGGTTCGTTCCCCCGCATCCATCATCCACGAAAGTCGTCCAAGCTTTACATGTGACTTCGGCTGCTGTTTAAGGATTTTCCTTTCCTCACGAATGTCGTTGAATGCTGGTTGAGTCTGTACTCTCTAGAATCCTGAGGTAGCTGGGCTAGAGCGTCGGCACTTGGATTGCATAGTGTAGACTTTCCCCAGACACTCTATATTATGCTAAAAATTTTATAAAAGTTAAGTTATAAAAGCTCTACAGCTTTTTTCTAGAGTGTCAGTGCGGAAGTTTTCGTTCGTAGTTGTTTATGAAAACAACACATCATGGGACGATCGAATTGATTTGATGCTCAAGTGGAGGGCGATTGTTGACCGGTATCATATTTTTAACACCACTCTTTTCTATTCTTTGTTGTTTCTACATAGATCACCTCGTCTGTATATCTATTGATTTCTTTTTTTTTTACCATTATTGCTCCACTTTGGGTTTTTGCAGTTACCCTAATCTGAACGCTAGCGTTTGGAACGTGAACTCTATGTTTGTTGATCAAATGCTGAGCCTAAAATCACTGACATGGCAAGTAAGTATGGGTATAGTCGGTTTTTTTTTAAATAGTGTAAAAGGAAGCGTAGACCTTTATTGTAATTTCAGACCTGTTTGTGGACATTATTGTGCATGACCATTGTTTGTACAATTTTCATCCAGAATCCTGTGTCGGTGCTCATCGCCACCATGGCGATTGCCTCTATCAGTCTTGGTGTCATGGGGTAAATTATTACTTGTTTAACTCATTGTTCTTTTTGAGTTGTGCAAACTAGCTCATTAAGTTGAAGAAAACTTATTTAGTTGCGCTCATTAACAAACTTGAATTCGTAACAAATTCTTTACTCAACGCAACCATTTTTACTAGCAGCTTAGTAAAAATAGCCTTAGTGTTAACAAGTAAATCCATACTATAAGAATACTTACTTTGGCCGGCTCTTCCTCACTGGTGATGCGGTCTCCGGAATATTCTTCACTTTTCGGAGTTTTGCTGGTTTAGCCATTGTGTTTCCTTGGATTACCAAGGTCAGCCAGCGGAAGTCTACCCTAGGTCTTCGCCACCACACGCAGTCGCGGTCCTTGTGGATCAGAGGGAAATTTGCCACCATACGACTTTGATACCAGGACGGTGGTGGATCCTGGTGTTGTTTTATTCCTAGCTGGTCTCCCTGATGGAAACGTCGAACTCCTTCTCAGCTCGGGAGGCTCTGCCAGGGGTTGGATCCTCCCAATGCACATCACAGCCCGACACTCAGGAACACTGCCCAGCTACTATGACACGGTAAACTGTTTGGAGGTATTACGAAAATAGTGCATGTGTTCTCCAAATTTAGGTCTTTCGTAATGTCCTCAACTTTGTATATTTTTTCTTATAAATCCATGAACAACCAAAATACAACTGACATCTTGGTATGTTACACAAATGTTGTTAATAATGTGCCAAACCAACCAAGTATTTCACATGACTGAAACGCTCTATTCATATAGCAATTCCCAAGACCGACTTTTTGCTAACCTCGGCCTTGATTGATAATTCGATGTTTTTCTTCAATAAGCAGACACGAGGTTGTTATTATAGAATTTATTAGGATGCAATAGCCGAAGTTTCGGCGGTTTCGCCTTCTTCAGAGCCTGGAAAGTCAAGTTGTGATGCGATCTACTCAGCCAAACACTTTCATAACCCAGCAGATAAAACTTAAATAAATTTGTATTCGCATAAGAAACAGCTTCATTTAAACACCTACCGTTCATTTGTTGTACGTATTTAAGTTGATGGATAGCCGCCGCACAGAGTAATACATGGACGATAACTGTGTCTGTGTCAGGTCATTGGATTAGCCTGAGGTATGGCGCCAGGTCACGCGTGGTGACAAGACACTCCTCCTTGCGGTTCATTTTTGAATTTTTGGAATTGATCCAACGCGCTTTGACAGTTTTACGCGCTGATGTTTTTGATTCGTTCGTGAGGATAGTGACTCCTACTTCAAAATCTTCTCCGTTGTGTTCCTGCATCTTATGCGCGTCTAGTGGAGTGTTTGGTTTCAATTTAGATGTACCGACTAAGTGTTCTCTTATGCGGACGCAGAGCGGTCTACCCATTTCGCCAACGTATTCGTTTCCGCACACTGAAGCCAGTTTTTTTTCGGTTTCTCACGGGTGAATTTTATGTACTCTGACTGTTCGCTCAATAACTCAAGGCATTTGTCTACTTCCTCTTGTGCGGAGCAGGTGACAAAACAATCATCTATATACCTACAGTAGAGTAATGACCTCAGATCGATTACTGGTGCTTCCACTTTAGACATAAATGCAACGACAATGGTTGGTGCCGGTCGCTGTCCCATTGCCAACCCTCCAATTTGCGCGTAATATTTCCCGGACCATCTGAAGATCGAACAGTTTAAACAGACCTTCAGGAGGACCATAAGCTGCTGAATCGAAAAGCCATACATGTTAATTGCTCCTTCGTATTGCTTAAGAAACTCGCGGATGGCTTGCATTTCGGAGTCGTTCGACACTTTAGTGTAAAGGTAAAGGGTGGTAACGTCGAACGACTCCATAACGTACGCGCTTTTGGGACGTGCGTTACGCAGACAGTCTAAAAACATTTGGGCGTTCGTGAGATGGGCTGGTATGTGCCTAAGCATCTGGTTGAGGATTAGGTTTATAAACCAAGCAATTCTATGCGTAGGCCCGTCTACACAACTGATTATGGGTCTCACTTTAAAAGTGGAGGGGTCGGTAGACTCCAGATCATCAGTGCATATTAACTTATGGGTCTTGATAAGTAAGTATTGGACGGGACATGTCGACACTTCGATCTTAAGATGCGAAATGTTTGCTGGTTTTAAGCCTGCTGCACTTGCCGTTTTGACCCATTCGCTGTTCAATTTTCGATTTTAACTTCTGAATTCCTTTTCAGTAGATGCGCGATAAAGAGATGCGTCTTCGAGATGTTTTCTTGTTATATCGACATCTAACTGGCGAGGAATTACTACAAACTCTCCACCCTTATCACTAACTGATAACCTAATAGTTTTTGATTTTATCAGCTCTCGAACTTGTCCCATACCAGATTTTTGCGTAGCTGTAAGGTTCGAACTAAACCTTTTCGCGCGGTAGTAGTTAAGGACTTTCGCTCGGAAAAATACGAAATTTTATATCGACTTCGTTGTTTGGGTCTTGCTGTCTAAAGAATAACCGAGGAAATGGAGGTGGTGGTAGTGCCCCTGCTGCTCGTTGTTCCTTTCTATTTTGTGTCTCAATTCTAGCGTTGCTTCGGAGTCGATCTTGGAGCTCGTGCAGACTGCACGCTATCCTACGCAAGGTTTCTCTAGAAATGGGTTGCGCTGATGAGAAACTTGGACCCAATTCTAATAGCGAGCGCGCGTCATCAAGGAGAGTTATGCCTCCTAACACGGTGACCCTTGACTTTTCTGGCACGCTATCGACGACATTTTTAGTGCTAGCGCTTTCGTAAACGATTTTACTTTGTTTGATTGAAGCTGGTTTTTTGCGAATGATCTAATAAATTTCGAAACTTTCTGCTTAAGATTGCTTTAGCATTCGACCTAATAGAATCGCAAATCAAAATTGACCGACGCACTATTCTCCTCCAAAGGGAATCCTCCAAATACTGAACACAATAAGATTCCTTCGACTTGCACTTCTTCAATTGCGCGTACATGGTGTCCTATTTGCTCTATTCATAGGTTCTGTAATACTTTATTTCCTTATTCAAGTAGTATTCTTAAGAGAGCACTTAAGAATCCACACAGAGTAGTGTGAACAGTTGTTTAAGGGAATTTGAAACGCAATTTATTAATTTCTGACCTCACTCTTGTTGGTGATTCAGTGCAATAGTAAATAACTTTGCGTTTAATATTTTTTAGAAAAACCCAATTTTCGTTCCGCACTGTATCGTTCCGTACCGCACTGTTCAGGTATCTTTCATTTTGGCACCTCGACCTCGATCCAGTTTCGCTTTGTGCTGTGCTCATCAGTATTGGTATGGCGGTCGACTTTGTTGCACACACCACTTACCACTATCAGGTACTTTTCTGTAATAATCACTCGCAAAAGTTTTCACCTCATCTCCGCCCAAGAATTTAGCAGCGGCCATGCACATTTTTTAAAACCTAAGTTCGTCTGGTTAGAATATAAGCAGAGGTCATGTTTACTACAGAAGCACTTTTTTACTCTAGAAACGTAAAGCTTTTATTATATGCGTTAATTAGGTTTCAAATTGCTATATTCAAAATCGTACGCTAGACATCTGAAATCTGTAGAAGTATTACGATATTGAAGTGCTTCTGCGCCTCTACGATTATACAACAGACACTAATCATCTCCGCCTGTTGTCGGTCTGATGATGGTTTTAATATGACCAAACATTTCTCGATTGCAGTTGTCCTATCGCGAGGTGATTCGTGACGGTCAGATCGTACGAATCGACCTGGACACGCAGTACGCGAGACTACGGCATACAATCAGCAATATCGCATGGCCAATGTCACAAGCTGGCATTTCTACAGTGATCTGCATACTGCCTATAGTCGTGTTGCAAGTAGGGAGAACTGGTTTGGACGTTCGAAAGCTTTTACTTAACGTGTATTAAAATTGTTCAATCTACAGGAGATTGATAAACAGGCTTTATTCGACTAACGTTTCAAAGTCTTCGTCTTCATCAGAGCCGATGATCCAAGGCGATGGCCCACAGTTGTTCTTCTTCTCGATGTGGCGTTTTCGTGATCGCACCGAGGCGGATCTCCTTCGATTTGTGCGGTGTTCCACTGACGAGGGGACCCATCTCGGTGCATAACGAAGACGCCACATCGAAAAGGACAAATGTGGGCCATCGACTCGGATCGTCGGCTCTAGTGAAGACGAAAACGTCGGAAAGTTAGCCGAATAAAGCCTATTTATCAACCTCGTTCAGTTTGAACAATTTAAATACACGTTGATTGTTTCACTTCCGACGTTAAGTAACTTTCGGTTTAAAAAAATTGTTTTTTACTTAAGTTCAAAACACATGTGGTTATCACGGGAAAGCCACAATTCTCAAGATAAGGGCGATAGCATATTGCAATGGAATACCGTTTGATATGGTCCGACCATAGCTTGTAGCCTGACAGTGATTGATTTAAACAGACTAACAATAACTCTGTAATAGTAAAATAAACAAAATTTTTGTGACAGGATGCTTGGATCTTGCTTTATTATATTTTGACTCTTTCAGAACTATATTCCATTGGTGTTCGTGAAAACAATAACGTTGGTAGTAATTTGGGGCCTATGGCATGGTTTAGTACTGCTCCCAGCATTCCTTTCGCAGGTAGTTTTTTTTTTGTTTTACTAGTACGTAGTATACAAAATCCTAAAGGTTACGAAGGATTTGTTTCAGATTCCATTATACCTGCTCAATTTCAATTGCTATAGACTTCTAGTAAGCGGTCGTACCGACAGCACTCTTCAAGAGATGTCACTTCTAGCACCCGAAGCTTCAATGCGAATTTGAATTGTCCGATTTGATATTGTCATTGTTAGCTTTTCACTCATATGCTGTCCGCAGCATCATCATTAGCCTTTGCTGTGCAAGGCGTTAGTTTATAAAGTAATGCCACATTACGGCTGGATTCTCCGTAACAGTTAGCATCTTGCTAAATGTATAGTCAGTTATCATCATCGAAATTACTACGATGTTTTTAATTGTGAGATGTTCTGCTGTCAGTATTGATAGCGAATGCGCCTCAGAGAATGGTGGATCAACAAACCTCATCGGAACTCGTACAATTTCGGTATGCCCTTAAAGTCAGGAAGCTTATGAACGTGTTCAACTTAGTTAATTCAAGGCATAGTATTAATTCATATATGATGTTTCTTGTTATCAAGTCTTGCCTGCAGTAAGCTGTACATTTCCCACGACTTTCAACAATCTCTTGCTGACAACATTTAAACACAGTGAAAAAGAATTGTTTAACAAAGCTAAGTTTTTCCCTAATTAGATTCCGTTCAGTTTTTTCAAAATTGATATTTCACGGGTCTAGCGGTGATTCAACTGTGGTTCGTAGTAATCCCTTATCCCTTGAGGGCTTTCATTATGAGATTTGTCGATTGTCGTTTAGATACTGCACAGCACTATATACGGGTATTGTACATTCACGTGTTATACTATTTATAAATATTTTACTATACACTTGCTAAATACTAGTTACAGTAGTATTGCGGATGCACATGACTTCTGCTCTGATTTTAAAGAAATTCAGATCAGGAGACCGATCATATATATATATATATATATATATATATATAAGGGATGGAAAAGCATAGAGCTCTCGGTGTTAATCAATCCCTGAGGGATGCGCCATGCATTCTACTTCATTAAGCATCGTTTGGAGATGATTGAATGCAGAGCTGGCGTTTACAATGACTCGCGGTGGCCTACCGATGTATCGAGCCAGTGCTGCCTTCCTCCCAGATAAGTCTGGTACCAATTTGCTGATCCCAGAGGGATGAAAGGCTTGGTGGACCATGGGCGCGTATAATTCGTGGTGGTGTACTAGGTCGAGCACCTATTGCGAAACAGCACTCCTGGTAACTTTCAAACTCTCGGTTACCTTAACGTGATCGTAGTATTCAATACGTTGGATTTGTGTAAAAATGCGACCGTGCCACTGTGGGATAATTTGATCTCTTGTGCAGAACTGAAAGTCTCGATTAATAACCACGTGATCAAATTCGTTAATGGGCAGCGATTTCGCTTCTGTTGTTGATGGAATGCTTTTTAAAGCTGCGACCTGTCGTGGGTGGTCCAAGTGGTCACAATGAAATTAGACATTGTCTCATCGTATTCGCCTAATTCTACACTACAGGTCCGTCCTAGTGTCAAGTTCTGTACTGATGTTTTTCAACGACCAGTTCTGACTAGGAAGTAGCTGACGATGACCTTCTCTGCAGAGCTTTTCAAGCGCCTAAAAATTGACCTCAATCTCATCTTTACTGTAGCTTTGTATCCAAGCACAGTATGCAAATTACCAAGGTTGGTAAAGGTCCACACTTTTTGAAATTTTGAACATCCATGGGAATATTTCTTACAATAACCACAAAGATGCTGACATATGAGCGAAACTCGGAATCTCAACTAGACTTCGAAGCCACGACTACTCTTAACGGCTGCTTAAGTAGAATCCCCCACACCGACTGAGACCTTCGCTTTGTCTTTCAGTCAGATTTTCTTTTTATAGAACCGACAGAATAAAACACCTGCCCAGAGGAAGGCAAAGCAAGGGCCTCGGTTGGTGTTATGAATAGCACGTGATCCTCCAGAAAAGGTAATCACGAGTTTCAAACCCAGTTCAGACTTCGAATTTTGGTCATACCTCAAGTTTTTTGTGGTTGTAATTCATATCGTTGTAATATCGTACCTGCCATAGAAAAGAATAAGCGGCAAATAGAAATTAGGACATTGGTGAGTTCTTAACAATATTTTACTAGATTGACCTTCATTTAACCTCTGCTAAAATGAAGATTATACTTGTTTAAATTCTTCAGTTTACATACGGTTGCTATGAAAGCTGAAAGCTCTCGGCGTTGATCAATCCCTGAGGTATGTGCAATGTACTCGACTTCTTTGCGTATCGTTAGAGGTGAAGGCATATCAGGCTTTTACAATGACTCGTGGTGGCCTACCGATGTATCGAGCCAGTGCTGCTATCCTCCTAGACTGGTAACAATTTGCTGACCCGGAGGGTTGGAGGACTGGGTAGGCCATGATCGCGGGGATCGATTCCACCTGTGTTGCAGTGGCGGCTCCAACCACTGCGCCACACATTGCTATACAACTTTTATTCAGCTGTTCCCATGTTTCCATCCTCTTCAGAGCCGATTAATCAAGTTGATGGTAAATATGAATATCCAGAAAAGTTAGCAGGTTTTACGATGCTGGTTCTTGAGAAATTATTCCTTGATAGCAGCCGAAAACTCATTAAAGGCACCATTTGTTTTTCAAGGTGAGAATAGCAACAACAATAAATGGCCTCCATTGTAATCACTTTTTTCTGTAAATGAAAAAACATCTGGAAGAAATTCGCTCCGACAAAATTAATACTTCTTCATTCATATCGTGATCCAGAAAAATATTGTACAGCAAATAAACCAATGAAGATAATTACTGCCAGATCAATTAACGAGTAATCCAGGAAACTGACACCATATTATGAATAGAAAAGAGAAACTGTATATGTTTTTCTTTTTGCAAAGTAAAATTTGAAGCAGAAGACGAAGATGACAAAATGAAGGGCACTTTTTAATTCAAGTTAGTCACTATTGTCACATGATCTTTGTGGTAACGAGAAAAAAAAATACGGAGACAATGAGTGGGATCGAACGGAAATAGATAACTAGAGATCCAAAACGAAAGATGTTTATCCTTAATTAGTTTGAGGTATTTCCAGTTCCACCTTCATTGAGATCATGCACTCGCATTATAGCAGTAGCTTGTTCTCGTTTGGTCTGTGCAGCAATTCGCTGTGCGAACTCTCTACGTATCATCCAAGATTCATATTCAGCCTTTTCCATTTCAAGCTTGTACCTCAGCGATTCGGCCCTCATTAGTAATTTGACAAATGGTACCTTAATAAACGCAGTTCATGCAAAAGTTCAGTTCTCGATAATTAAATACATTGAATTTTAAACTTTTGACTTTTTCGAAGAATGTTCCTTTACATAACGGAAATTGTGTTGTTATACTTCAACACAAACTTAATGGCTATAACGGGCGACAACACAATTTTACATAAGGGAAGTTCACTGGAGTAGAATAATAAAGCTGCGCATTCATCTAGTCAAGTTTGTGTTGAAGCATAACAACACAATTTCCGATGTGAAATCTACAGTATGTTCTAAAACGATTCTATCTCAAGAATTTTACAATAGAAAAAGTATAAAGCTGTCGGCGTTGATCAATTCCTGAGGGATGCACCATGCATTCGACTTCATCCAGCATCATTCGAGGTGATTGAATGCACATCTGGCCTTTACAATGACTCGCGGTGGCCTACCGATATATCGAGTCAGTGCTGCCATCCTCCTAAACAGTCTTGGTACCAATTTACAGACCCCGGAGGGATGGAAGGTTTGGTGAGCCTGGGGTGCGGGATCGATCCCATGTGTATTGCAGGACGCCTCTAAGCACTGCATTCATTTTGTGAGATTAGCTTAACATTAAAAAGCTTGATATGACATTCGATGTGCCCCCTTCTCACAATATTTGGACTAGAAAGCACGTGGATTTCCGTCTCAATATTAAGCTAATCTCACAAAACTTGTCAAAAAGCATTATTTAATGTTTACTTTGGATTAATTCCATGTTTTCTTGAGAAGAAAATTATCTCGCAAAATTAAGAAATCTAAGACGTTCGAAACGTTTTTACTAACCTCTTCAGGTTCCCAGGAATGAAGATCAGCAATTACTTCGTAATCGTATGGCGCATCTTCTTCCGTAACACCTCCGAATATTTTGTACAATGAACGTAATTTCGTAAACAGTGCACGGAAATCCAGCTTGAAAATAAAAGAATAGAAACTCCCACGTCCGACTTTCTATTGACCTCGGCATTGATTGTACAGTTCTTTCCACTTCTGTTCAGCAAAAACGAGGTGCTATTCCACTTCCCCACTCACGTAAAAGCTGACGTTTCGGTGGATTTCGCCTTCCTCGGAAGAGACAAGGGAAACGAAGGACCCGTATGGTGTGGTGGTGAACTCGTTACTCTCCGGAAAGGACAATAGCGCGTTGGTTTCCCACCGCTAACACCTGCGGTCCGGAGTTGTGCAAATATCTCAGCATTATAGAAGGCTATAATAACATCCAAGAGAGCGAAAAGTGGGGAAGTGGAATAGCACCTCGTGTTTGTTGAACAGAAGTGGAAAGAATTCTTAAAAGAATAGAGTATAAAATAGATAGGAACTGCTACCAAATCAATATAACTCACTATAGAACATGTCGCATAACCTCGAATACCATTCAGTAAATAATACCCATCTTGACGTTGAAACTTGCTAACATCAATAGCTTGTGCACGACGAACAATATCCCAATATTCACTTAATCTGGAAATATTTTTATGGCTATACTAACAAAAGATCGATAGAAGCTGAGATAGAAGCTAGCTGAGACAGGCGAAACGAAGGACCCGCATGGTGTGGTGGTGAACTCGTTGCTCCCCGGAAAAGACAACAGCGCGTTCGTTTCCCACCGGTAACACCTGCGGTCCGGAGTTGTGCAAATATCTCAGCATTATAGAAGGCCATAAAAAACACCATTACGAAACTGTTTCGTGGAAACGACATAACCTCAGCAAGAAAATGACTTCATAGCAAATTTTCCATAAGACAAATAATTCGAATCTCTAAATAAATGAAATAAACATGCTACAGATGGCCACTCACGGAGCGGGTAATGAACTCTTGTCGAATTGTTCCTTGTATCGTTGGATCTAAATGGTAAAGCAGAAGATCATAAACAATAGAAAATCAAAAATAAAGTGGACGACGAATATGTCTAATCGCGTTGTTTCAGCTTTTACTTACTGTCCATTCTTTTTCCATTACAGGATATCACGTAAAAATTCAATCACAAGGATGTTGAGAAATGAGCAAAACTCGGAACTTAAGTCATAACTCATTTCATGTTCTTCAAAGAAAATGAGTTCCTGAAGAAGCAGAGCAAAACTCTAAGCACTCATAGAATGCCCAATTCTCTGAAACCCTTCATTGCATCTATTGGAGTGATTAACTGCAAACTTCGTGCTCTCAGTTGATTGCTGGACAACAGTAAATTTCGTTTGAGGGACTTTGGCATTTATGAAGAATATGAATATCATGCAAATGCTGGATCCGAAAAGCAGAATACTGAAATTGACCTCGTCTGCTTTCGTTACTACCTTCTCCCACTTTATCATAGTGATTGAAGGGTAGGCGTATCAGATACGAGTCCATTTTCGGTTACTACTACACAACTGACTTCCAAAGTAGTCCTTCTATACGAGAGCTGAAAGTCTGTCCACTCCGTGTATGCATGTGCCGTGTGAGAGAAACGTTTACGACCATCCATGAATCTCTTTTCCTTTGTCTGCTTATAGCATTATTACCTCCACGTTATGTAATCATAGAACCGAAGTAGTTAATGAGACTTTCTATCGAGGAATCATTCAATATACACTGGAAAAGCAGCTATTTTAAACAAACTGTCGAAGAAAGCTCAACTGCAATGTCGACGCTCTTGCTTATTGGTGGGAATGTTACTTTTACAAACACTGTTGATCTTTTTGCTTTAAGCCCTCTCTTTTGTTTCCCTCCATAGAACTATGAGTTTGCGCACCAATATGCTGTTATTTGAAGCTAATACGACTAATCGTTAACGCAATTCGCGTCCGATGGAAATTATTAGGCATTTTATTTTTACTCTACATAGCCCGTCATCACATCTACTACGTGTATTCCAGCACTTCTTGGATTCGATTCATTTTCCTAGCGCTCGTCGCCCACAATTGTTATCGAACATTTGTTGTTGAGTGTTGTTTCGGACGCTGCTCGAGGATTTCGCCTTCTTTTTGAATGTCGTAGAATGCTGGTCAAGTCAAATCTCCTTGAAGTCTTGGAGAGAGGCCGGCTTAGGCATTCCCACGTGGATTGTAGGAGAGCGTCGAGGAGGAGTCGAACCAGCGCATTTGCTTACTGATCGGCGGCATCACCAGTCACTGCACTACCCCACGCCTAATAATTAGACATTGAGGAATTACAATTAGGAATTGGATACTCTGAATGCTGTCGATAACGCGTCTCTTGCTAGCTTATAATTAAGCAACCTTTTCAAAATTGTAGCATTTATGTGGCCTCGCTCCTTAAACACCACAATTCATTATTCACTGTCGTTAAACCACCTGCCACATCACTATGTCCAGCTGATTACTCTTTCGAAATGCACAATATAACAACATATCTATTCCAGCTGTCCCCACCTTGTCCAATTATTCTGCAAACAAGTGAACAAAACTTCGAAATTACGTTTGATTTCAACAATATACATACGAGATCCTTATGAAGCCCTCTCCACGTTAGGAATCCGGTCATATCGAGTACTATGTATAGTAGGACTTCTGCACAATCGGCCACACCCATAACACTTCCTGTAATTAATATCGGTAGAAGAAAAATAGTGGTAACATAGTGCTAATGGAACACTATAGAGCTTACAAGGCGATATTTAACAACGTTAACTGATCCGTCTTCACGAAATCTCGTGTGTCATTCGGCAAAATTTCAAACTAATGCAAAACAAGACTTATGTTTATAACATACACATATCCGGGACCATGCGAATTGATTTGAATATGTCATGCGCATGTCAAAAAACAACTACACCTCCCGGTCCTAAACAACAAAGCATTGCCTTGAATTGTAACGAATAAAGTTTCTTAATCGAAATTAAGACCAGTATGATCTACAGATCTTTAAGAAGAAAATATAAGTTTCCCTATTGCACTGCAATTAAAATACGGTTTTCTGGAACTCATAAACGGTATCTTTTTCTGTTAAGGGTCGTGCTTCGAACAGAGAAGCGGTTAAACGTGCAGGAATTCACGGAATAGGACATAATGGTGGGTCCTAATGTATCTGATGATGTTTGCGGGTGTCATGTATGTTGAATATTGAAAAAAAACAACATGAGAAACCTAATGCACATCTTTCAAGAATGTAGCGAGAGAAAAAATTCCCTAAAAAGGAACTCAATCAAGATTGTGATGAAGTCCAACCGATTTTTCATGATATATGAAGACGGCTGTTTAATTAATTGAGTAAATGCTACTTTTCTTCTTGAAAAACAAAAATTACTTACTATTTCCCTTTCGGTGCCAACATAATGGTGCGTACTCTGCAGTACCAAGCCAGTGACTATGCGATATTGAGTCGCCAGACAGAGCTATGTCCTTCAGTTCTGTGCTTACTACCACCTGACAATAATCACTTCAAACAAGCAATTAATGCATGCATATATTGCGTTTGTTTAATCGGTTAATCAGTAGTTTCCAAAAGTTCTCAGCATCTTAGTGAACTAATTGTGACCTCCTATGCTAAAGGATCTATTTTTTATAACTGAAAATCTTTGAAAGTTACGAACAACTAACTGTTTGCACCGTAACATTCACCTCAGATGCATTTTCGAGGAACACCCGACGAGTTCTGACGTCTACACGAAAATATGACATCTCAATATTTCGGAACGTGTAGCCAGCTTCGTACGTGAACTCAATGATCTAAAAAATATAAGGAATATTCCCAAGACGAACTTTCTCTTAACCTCGGCATTGATTAATAATACACTGTTTTCCTTGATAAGTAAGCATGAGGTTGGTATTATAGCATTTATTAATACAGAATAGCTGACGTTTCCGCAATTTCGCCTTCTTAAGAGCCTGGAAAACTCAAACAAACATGGGATCCATTCAGGCAAACACTCATAAGCCTGGCAAGCAAAACTTTACATAAAAATTCCAAATCGCACAATAAACAGCTTCTTTTAAAAGCCAGCCATTTTGTTCTATGTAAGTCTTCCAGTTATATTGTGGAGAGTTATATTATATTGTACATGGGCGAGGAATGTGTCCGGCTTAGGTCAGAGAATCAGCCTGAGGTATGGCGATATGTCAAGTGTGATCGCAAGACACTCCTCCATGTTGTTCAATTTTGGAATTTTAGATTTAATCCAAAACGCTCCAAGAGTTTTTGCCGATTGCTCATCAAGAAAGACAGTGAATAAGGAATAGTACTAGGTAAAATTTTGTTTAGAATAGAAGTGTCCATTCATAGTCAACAAATTGACCGAACCGATAACCACTGAAAGTGGAGTTATTTCAAGAGAAATCACTGGAGACAAGAAAAGACTCACTTCGAGGATGTCTGACGCAAGACGACCAACTGTCCCCAAACTCCACGCCTTCTTTTCATCACTTCCTATTGGTGATTTATTATAGTTGACCCAAAGGTCATGGAGAGATGCTGACTCACTGAAAGATACACTTGAATAACTCGACGGTTAAAGAAGAAAATCAGTCATGTACACAGCAACGCACTTCAGTTCGTTAGACGAATTAGATGTAAAGATACTATTACGTTTGTAGTTACCGTAAGGATAGAATTGAAACATTACCGCATTAGCACAACAGCATAGAAAAATGAAGGCCAATGGTCTGTCGCGGATATGAAGCGAGCATCGAAAACTGTGTTGAACATTGCAGAGCGGTTTCTTTCCGATTGCTTAACAATGTGACCAATCACATTCAATATTTCCTACCGTAAAAATTAAGAGAAAAAACCTTTTCGATTTAAAAGCTACAAAGTAGTCGATAAAATGGCCCAAGCCAAGTGTTACTTCTATCGAATGGTCCCAGCAGAATAACTCCACAATGGAGCCAACAACTAGTAAATTCACACAAAGAAATTGGAATTTCTCAAATGTTTTAAGCGAAGACTTGTGCAAAGCAAAGATTTCATAACTTATGTATTTCGTCAACTCCAATCTCCACTCCTAATTTTCATTGAAAACAACAAATAAGGATAAAATGTAACACTAAATGTTACCGTTTGTACAAAATACATCTCTTCTGGAAGTGTAGAAAAGGAAGTATCTGCGAGCTGTGCGTAAAGAATACCCTGAAGAAAGGTTGTGAATTCCACAAAGAGTGATTATCGTCTATGAATGCTACTCGGAAACCAACTTGTGTTGCCGCCTCATTATGTTCCACAACAAAGTACGCTACAACTCCATTTCGATGTGACTGAATTTCATCCAAAATCTAAACAACACTGTAATTCCTTGTACACAAAAATAGAATTAGCCAATCTATTTGCAGTGCAATTATGCAAGAACCATTGCTAAATTAAAATACGAAGTAATACCATCCATCTGTTCAAGAAGATCTTTCCCACAATAAAGATCCTCCAGAAAATACTTAAGTCAATCACTGGACATACAACACCGCATGTACTCGAAATGAAGACTTCGCTAGTGTCCTCAACGCAAATTACCTATGGGAAGTATAAGATATAGTACCTCAAAAAAAACATTTATTGAAAGAACTCTCAAGAACACTTACAGGTAATTGAACTTTTTCCATATTTTCGAGCGATGCTTGTTTCGCAACAAATTTCTTCGCCTTATGCATTTCCCTTCTCTGCTGTCGTAACATCTCCTTCATTTCCTTTCGCTTTAATTTTTCCATTTTCTTCCGTTCCTTCTCCTCCAACTTCTTCCTTCGTTTCGCATCTTTGCAAGCCTTCCTCAACTCTCGATTTCTTTCCTTCAGCGCTTCTCGTTCTACACGTCTTCGTTCCTGCTTAGCCAAAAATTCCACACTGTGAGTGTATCTAACCTTCGGTGACTTTCGTTTAACACCAGCAATGGAGGGCAAAGGACCTCGCAATGCTTCCTCGTTTTGAATTCGCTCTAGAAAAAGCATAAATAGAGAGGAAATTAATTTTCAAAGCGAAAATTCTTTGAAAAAGGCAAAAACATACATTTCCTCCAAAAGTGGAGCTGGGCTTACCTCTTTCTAATATCGACATAAATCATAACTTTCTTAATTCAATTTTCCTTCGTTTTCTTTTCCCCAAGCTCGGATACTTAAATTTTGCTCATCACTGTCCTGTCGACATCATGAGAAAGCTTTTCCGAAAACTATGCAGTTGGTCTCCATTGGAGCTTTCTCGCTCTTTTAATTCAAAATTACCCATGAACTTTGCCACAGTATTACATCTCCACACTTTGAAAACTATAAAGGGATAACCACAATGAAAATTATAACGAAAATATTATTACTACTATAAAATTATCATTGTTATTACTATTATTATTATTATTATTATTATTATTATTATTATTATTAAAAAATCAAATTACAATGGTCATAATTAAGGGTAGAAAGATGTCCTAACAGACCTAACGGAACTTTTCTTCGCGGATGACCTCACTTCAGTACAACCACAAGGATGCTAAGATATGAATACAACATGGGATTTCTATTGGGCGTCGAATCCACGACTACCTTTACAAGTGGGTCACTTGCTACCCACCACAACAACAAAGGCTCTTGCTAGAACGTGAGCCTTCGGTGAGGGTTTCGGGTTTTGCTCACATCTCACCATCCTTTTTTAATTCTCCTTTAGCAAGGCGTTTCTGATGATACTTTGTCCCAACGCTATCTCCTTTCTTGATAAACTGTATATCACTGAGGAGCTTTCAAAACCATTACCTTAAACTCTGCGCCGAATGAAAAACACAGTGATTGCTCATGGCGCCGATCAATAGAACTAGTTGAGAGAGGTGAAACGAAGGAGCCGCATGGTGTGGTGGTGAATGCGTTTCTCCTCAGAAAGGACAATAGCACGTTCGTTCCCTACCGCAAACACCTGCGGTCCGGAGTTTTGCAAATATCTCAGCATCATCTTAGTTATATTTCACATGATACCCTGCCGTGAAAAATTATAGTAGGCAGTAAATAAAAAGGTTAAGAAAAACACAGTATTGTTGGAAGCGTGTATCTACTTTTGCGCCGATACTAAAGCATAAGTAGTACAACTACAAGGTGATAATTTATGAAATAAAGAATTTATCTCATTAAAAATGATTAAATAACTCTAATGGAAAAAAGAAGGCAGATACTGGACTTGAGAAAACTGTATCTTTTTAAGTGCTACCGAAAGCATTCAGAAGATGGTCTAAATTAGTACGAATTTCTCATAAACATTATACAAAATAAACCATGCTTTATACAAAATAAACCACGCTAACTTAATACTTATGAAATTACTCTTCCATTACTATTGCCACAGGTCGTTCATGACAATATTATATCATTTTTTATACCACCCATCTTTCAAATTTCCTGATTGGATCCCAGCGCTTCTCGCATCCATTATCCACGAAGATCATCCATCTTTTACGTGTGGCTTCGACTGCTGCTGGAGGACTTTCACTTCAATTTGAATGTCGTAGAATTCTGGTAGTCTAGATTCTCCCTGGAGTCCTGAGATTGCCGGGTTAGAGCGTTCCAATTGCAGAGAGTGACTTTCTTCCGGATAAGTTCGTTGGCAAGTACCAGACCGCGGAGGGATGAGCGGCTTGGTGAGATTGGAGCGAGATTGAACTAGCACCGTGCTCGTAAAGACCAGCGTCACTACCACTGTGCTGTCTGCCAAGAGCAGCGTATAATTTCCATTATCTGCTTTGTCAAAGTTACCTTCAAAAACATGGATTCCTTACTCTAGACTTTTTTTTTGCAACGTCGTATAATACTGTTTCCATAATTGTGGCCCCGTTTTTAGACGAATCCAAGAATATGTGGGGCTATATTCTGAATCACATGTCTTAACCAGCCCAAAAAGAATCATGAAGTGCAGTGGTAGATAATATGTGATACAATGAATCACGAGTGGTGAAACCACAACACAAGCTAACCAAGTTCTCTTTCCCTCCCGTGTCGACAAAATGGAGGCAGATCTATGCGGGAAATGCTCCTTGTGATGAACGAATGCCGGTGGTGAAGACCTACAAATGCTCTATTAGAGCTATCGCAGGATTTTAGGTAAAACTAACTGGACCAGAATTCAAAGACAACCATGAATGAGATAACGAACTAAGTGAAAGAACTAGTTCTACTAGCACAATATGTGAAGTTAGGTCATATAAAGAACTAAATACATAACAATTTTCAAACCGATCATCATTTAACCTCTGTAGCAAAATAATTAACATGTATTTAAACTGTTGAACTTACATGAGGTTGATAAATAGATTTATTCGGCTAATGTTTCGTCGTCTTCGTCTTCATCAGAGCCGATTATCCAAGTCGATGGTCCACAGCTGTTCGCCTTCTCGATGTGACGACTCTACTAGCTATGATCAACTCGGGTCAGTACGACAAGGAAGAAGCCACATCGAGAACACGAACAAGTGTGGATCATTGACTCGAAAAGTCGGCTATGATGAAGCCGATCTCTATCAACCTCGTGTAAGCTCAACAATCTAAATACGTGTTAAACACAAATTCACATAGGTTAAAAGAGAACTTTTATGATTAGTGTCTAAGGAATCGAATTGTTTACGGAATACACCTTAGTTATGCATTGCTTAACAAAAAAAAGCTCATAAAACACGCTAAAATAAGCATTTCGTCCACGATTAGCTTGTTGAGTTCCTCAGCGGAATATATTAAAGGTCATTACTCCCTCGTTTTTCGTACAAACCGACAGATCAGCAATTCCTCCTATAGCGAGGGAAATTTTTCTTACTTTGACGTGATCCACAAAGACGTCTATACACAGTACACGTGGTTAGAAGACAGTTGAATTATCTAGAGATCCTTTTCAACGCTTTTCTCATCTACGAGTCGACAACTTTTCTAGTCATAACACCAATTCATGTTTGTTTTACTTTCCATGGACATTGCTTTGGATCTCGAAAATGAAATATTTTTCGAAGATCTGTACATCAAATGCTCCATAAGTAGTGCGATATGCCCTCGCTAAATACTGTTCTGTCTTCAGCAGACGGGCTCAAACCTTCAAAAGGTGATACATCGGCAGGCCATCGCGGGTCATTGTAAAGGCCAGATATGCATTCAGATGCCAGATGTACCTCCAATGATGCTTAGTGAAGTCGAACGCACGACGCATCCATCAGGGATTGATCAACGCCGACAGTTTTATCCTTTTATCCTTTTATTTCTATGCAAGTCATTGGCAGCTTGTTTATAAAACTGTAAACAAGAACTAATTTTTAAGAAAATATAGACAAAACAAAGATATACCATTTTGCTCGCAGGCTATACCTTGCACTTCCGATTGTTGTTTTGCTTTAGGAGGTCGTCCGCGACGACATTTGATCTCGACACCGTGACTTGCCATTTTATCTGAAATTAACTTAGTGGAACAACAAAAAAGCAGTGATGGATGTCAAATCGTGCAAAACAACTAACACATTGGAGTAGGCAATAAATGTTTCGATTATGTACTGGACACAGAGTTCAAATAACCTTTAGTTGCTGGTAATTCGACACTCTGTACAAAAGTGAGAAAGCTACCTACGATAAACAATTCTTTCCTATGTCGCCTTCATCATCTAATCCTATTTTAAAAAATGGGTGTGTAGCGCAGTGGTAGGGAACGCGCTGTAATACACATTGGGTCGAACCCCACTCTTAGGCTCACAAAGCCATCCATCCCTCCGGAATCGACAAACTGGTACCAGACCTGTCTGAGAGGACAGCAGCACTGAATCGACACATCAGTAGGTAACCGCGAGTCATTGTATAGGCCAGATATGCATTCGTTCACCTCCAACGGTGCCTAATAAAGTAGAATGCATGGCGCATCCCTCTGGGATTGATTAACACCGAGAGCTTTATCCCTTTACTTATGTTATTTTTTAAACTGAGCTCGCTGTTTAAAATTCCACAGTTTAACCAGACGTGTTGGAGATCAAATGTTCGGTAAGGTTGAGATTACTATTAGTAGAGAAAAAAGAATGGACCAAACCACATACGAGGCGAAGTATTCAAGTAAAACGTAAACATTAATGTTCATTCGACCAGCTAACTAGGTTATTTCTGATAACACAAAGCTAAAAGAGTATCGAAAAACGCTTGATATTATTAGGACTTCAGTAATAAATTAGTAGTAAATTACATTGGTAATCTCACCATGGACAAAAAAACGATAAAGCTCTCGGCGTTGATCAATCCCTGAGAGATGAACCATGCATTCGACTTAATTAGGCATCGTTGGAGGTGAATGAATGCATATCTGGCCTATACAATGACGTGCGGTTACCTGCTGATGTGTCGATTCACTACTGCTGTCCACTTAGACAGGTCTGATACCGGTTTGCCGATCCCGGAGGAGTGGAGGGCTTGGTGGGCCTGGGGCGCAGGAATCGATCCCATGTGTACTGCAGGAGTCTCCGACCAATGCGCTACACGCGTCTCTCGTGACTAGATGAAACTCTCTAAATGATTACCAGAAAGTTTTCCCAAGTGTACAAATTCCCACTGTCTACTTATAATAACTTAGGAGGAAGTGCAAACAGCGATCGTCATGCATTAGAAGGACATTTCAAGAGACATTCAAGCTCTTGCAAGCGAATAAAAAAAAATACCTCTATCAAGAAGTTCTCCAGTTCCTCGCAAAGTCGATTGGCGATTTCCCTCAATGGGCACTTCTGTATGGGTGTCGCCAGCTGTGAAGGTACGACAATGGTCCACAGCAGTTTGTTCCGCCTTTTCAAAATAGCCAACCATATCCATGACAAGTTACTTGCTTGGGATAAAATTTACAAATCAGTGTTGTTTGTTTCTGAAAGAGGAAGTGGTAGAATGGGAACTCAAACGCCTATGGCTGTTACATCTTTTTCTTCACGTAGAACACCTTTTCACTGGCATTTTAAAGCACTTCTCTGAAGGTTCGTATGAAATGGTAATGAAATAAGTGGAATCATGAGAAAACTTAAAGAATTTTCACAAGACACAATAAGAAAGCCTTAGTGCGATCAAAAGTTTGTAAAGCACTTCATTTAGAAAGCAGAAACTCGAGTGGTGTTCAACGCGCTTATTTCGTAACCTCATCTTCCACAGTTGTCATTTCACACAAGAACGTTCGTCACTACTGAGAAGATCGAGACGATCAGAATGAACACTATAAAGTTGAATAAATTCCTATAGCTGGTTCGGTTCTATCATCTACTTCTGATGTTAGAACAAACTAATTAGCTATTAATCTGCGAAGGAACAAAGACGCGTGCAGCGCAGTGGCCGGAGGCTCCCCGTAATACACACATAGGATCGATTCCCGATCCCAAGGCTCGCCTTCCATCTCTCCGGGATCGGCAATTAAGTACCATATTTCTCTGGAAGGATAGCAGGACTGGTTCGACATATTGGTAGGCCATAAAAGCCAGATGTGGATTCCATCACCTCCAACGATGCTTAATAAAGTCGAATGGAGCATCCCTCAGGGATTGATCAACGCCGAGAGCTTTATTTTTATTTACTCTTTATCCTGGGAAGAATATCTAACAAATATAGGCAATGAACGACGACCTGTAGCCATCTTATACATTACAAGGCCGTTATATAGCAAAATATTGTTTCGAAACCAATTAAAAACATAAACAGGTAACAGTTACGATAACAACGGAAAGATTATCTCAGACCCCAGTGATTTCTATAGGAATATAATCACTTCTTTGCCTTACCCTATTGGAATAAGGGCTGCCCAGCTGTCTCGACTATTGGGAGTCTACTAATAGGGATAAATTGGTCGCTTTGATCCTATTTTTCGTTTCATGAAGCCGAACGTAATTCTTCGTTCAAAGTTGCTTTCCTGTGGAACTAAACCTTGACAATTTTACCTGACCTACAAGCTACATTTGGTTTATGATAAGTAACGTTTAAATCCAGAGATAAAAAGGCAAAACAGAATACGTAGGGAAAAACAGACACAGGAGGAAAACTTGGCTGAACACACTCGCAACCGTAGAGCACTGGCGGTGGTTTTCTTCTCAGGACCTCCAGAATGTTTCATCGTATACCATAGACACTCTGCTAGCCAGATCACGCTCTTATTTACTTTTTCTATCTATGTATTCTACATGACCCATCACCAAGTCTACTGTGCGGATCCCAGGACTTCTTGTGTTCGATTGGTATCCTCGCATTCAACATCCACAATGGTCTTCGAATAATTCGCGTGTTGTTTCGGTTTCTGCTCGAGGATTCTGTTCCTCTTAATGAATATCGTAGAATGCCGATCGAGTCAAACCTCCTTCTCCTCCTCCCTCCTTATAGGGGGGCTAAGGCATTCCGCACGTGGATTGGTGGAGAACATTGGCATGGGATCCAACTAGCGCCATTGTTTCCTGACCGACGGCATCACAACCCATGCGCCATCTCCTACTCTGGAATACTACAAGTCTAGAGATTTCTCGTGTGGAAGAGATAATGGACATGCCATCAACTAACACGACACTGACAACTGCTGATACTGATACAAGCTGCATAGGTAACGCTTGCAGTACATTGGTTATATCCATGAAACTGTTTTGGAAACAGAACAAGGAAAAGAACATTTTTTTAGAACCATTAATGTCAACTTTTTGAAGGATTATTTTCTATTACACCAATTTTCCATTACTATGCCATTATCATTCTTTTGTAGTAGCCCATTGATTAACATTTTAGTACCGTAGTGCAGAACTACAGTCATATGAATCAGTCCACATCTTCATACTTTTTCTTTATCCTTTATACCTTTTGCTACATTTTTCTCTGGACTATTCTTCATAATTGTTTTGTGTGTTAAGTAACGAATCGTATTTGGCCTACTACGTACAGTGCTTGCCGCAGGGTCAACAGATCTTCGACATGCAGTGAGCAGTACTACCACAGTACAGGTGAGTTCGCATCTGCTGGAACATGGTATCTATGTAAACGTTTTCTCAGAGGATGTGGAGAGATATTGCGGAGTGTCTTCGTCTTCTTTTCGCATAAGCGAACATTCTGTCCAGAGAATACTTACAGGGAAGTGAATAGCAACGACAGCTTAGCGTATAACAGTAAGTTACTATTCTAGAGCCGCATCGAAATATCGGTAGATTGCTATAGATATTAAGCACTACCAAGAAAGTAGCAGTTAGTTGTTCCCATAACATTTGTACAAATAAGACAGGCGAAACGAAGGACCCGCATGGTGAACACGTTAACCTCCGGAAAGGGTAGTAGCAAGCTCGTTCTCCACCGCATACACCTGCGGTCCGAACTTTTGCAAATATCTCAGCATCGTTGTGTGGTCACGTCATATGCAATGAGTGGAAGATTTACTACTACGATATTTTTTGGACTCTTCAGAAGGTTCGGATGCTCAGATCACTAGTTTTGGCGAGATATCGTGATGAAAGTCGTAGCACGACAAAGGGTTAGGATTTACTTACATTGAATGTATTGTTAATTATACTTCAATGTAATTACCACTAAACATCTAATTTCCATCTCATCTGACAGCTTCTTTTTTCTTACTACAGCACTCTAACTAGTCATTCATTCCTTGTATGGTTACAGTCTAGCTTTAGAATCTGTACTCGTCTCTGATTGCAAACATCCCCAGTATTCCCAAGAAACTTAGCTTAGAAATCCAAAACACTTTAAGGTCACGCTATACCATTGAAGGCATAATGTAAAATAAATATTCAACTATTCATTCCTGAGAGCAGTTCACGACTACTACATGTTCGCCAACTCCTTTCTATAACTATTCTACATGTTTTGCTCAATCTATCTTCATAAGTGTGAGATGTGACCACTGCTCAAAAACTGTGCATAATCTCTTATCTCTTTATTAAAACCATTTATCATACCACGTATCAAAATTGCGAATGCCCTACTTATGTTGTGCACAAGCATTTCTAACCAGCAATACTTCAGATAACAAAACCACGATCAGCAATCGATATACGAGATGACCTTGTGATTTGGAATCACTTATGCATGTGGGACAGTGTCGTTCATATCAGTCACTACAGTAAACAATAGCTATTTAGTGACTCTAATGAGCTATTCTATTCTTTCTCGTGAACAAAGGAAGGAATCCGCTCTGCTTGTACTTATGGAGAGTAGGTATTATAGTTATGTTATAAAAACTTCAGTAATTTACAAACAGTGGTCTTCAAAAGATGATGTGTAAACACATAACTCTAACTAGAAATCCACAATAAAGGCTAGGGGGTGCTCAGTGCTCATAGTTTACGAATCTTGTTAGTGTACATTTCAAGTCGTTCCCGTGTGCGACGAAACACGTTTCCGCTTTTGCCGTAATCTGAAAATGGCATGGTTTCAAACAAAGTCCCAACACTTTGCACTTCGAAGACCTTTCCATGTCCTTCCAGTTGTCCCTTATCCGTCAAAAAGCGCCACCTCTTTAAATTCGATTTGAAGAAAAAGGCGGACTATTTATGCAAGAAGTCTTCTATGTTATGCTCATTACTAATGATTTGTTTATGCTACTATCTTATATACAACAGAATAAAACATGATGATTAACGCAAACAATTCACTTCCCAATAATGGAAGTTAAGGTAATCACAGCTTTTCTCTGTAAGCTCGCAGAATCCGGTGGATACTACTTCTTGACATTCCCGTTTCGTTAGCCATTTGTCTCAGAGACTTCTCAGGATTCTCACGGAACTTGGCAACGATAGCCGCTGTATTTACACCGTCGGTTGATCTCCTTGGCCTTCCACAGCGAGGTCGGTCCATTATCGAACCTGTTTCTTTGAACTTCGCTATTAGTCTGGTAACACTACTCTGCCTAATTGGTTCTCGATTTGGATGCAATCGATTAAACTCAGCCGCAGCCTCCTCATGACTTCGATTTGCAACGAGCTGCAGCAGATGCACTCGTTCCGACTCATTTAGATGCTTTCCTGACCTGCAACTTGACCGTATTCGTCCATGTTCGATTCTTGAAACATGTCTGAGTTTAGCACCGGCTTCAACAACAAAGCACTACAAACCTCCTGCAATAGTCGTTGATTGCTTGTCGGCAGGCTGCCCATCTTGCAGCATCATCGAGATCATTCGCAGTTGGATGTAGAGTGCGAATTAACATTTTCAGCCACATGATCTTTAAAAGTTAAATATTATTTAGTAAAGATGCTAAGATATTTGCAACTTCAACTCTGGGGCAGATCGAACTATGATTACCCTTTCCAAGGGCTCGCGTATTACATCCTGCACCGCGGAGGCCCTTGCTCTGCATTTCTATCAGCTGGTTTTCTACCTAACGCTGCCATTAGCAATCAACCGTAGTGCAGTGTGTAATACGCGAGTTCCCGGAGAGGGGTAGTCGTGGTTCAATCTGTCCCGGAGTCCAAGTTTTGCGAATATGTCAGCATCGTTACAGTTGAATTGCACATCACACCTTGCCGTGAAAAATTTTAGAATGAGAGGTCAATATTATTACTTAGCATTTTGTATGTATATATATCCTACAATGAAATAGAAGATGTTGTTGGGAAGCCTACACGTTGAGAAATAGGAAATATGTACTACTCTGGTCAGATAATTGTAGTCATTCTCCTACGATTGATGATGCCTTCATGGAAGAATGCACGTGAACGTCATCAAATTACGATATAATCAAGAGCCATGGTTACGAATAACTTCTTTAGATGCTCAAATAAACTGAAGGAAACATAAGAAAAACTATATAACAATAAGAAAAGTGAAATTACCAGAACCATACCTTAGCCTTATCCTTGCGTGCATCAATAGGACTATCTTTGTCCGGGTCGCTTGCAAAAAGAATACGATCAACCTAAACGAGATTCGTAATTTCAGACAAACCAATCGAAGAAGCACAGGATTTACTAAATTGTAAGCAGACTATCTGTCGCCCAGCAGGGTTTCCCAGGCCAAGAAGGGGCCCGACTTTTCCATCAGAAAACCTAGTTAAGAGTAAACCAATACAAGGACCGATCACCATCCTGGCATCGACATAGACGCATGGTGACAAGTTTCTCTCTGATCCACAAGGCTGCGACTGCTTGTGGTGATGACGATCCGGGGAAGATTTTGGCTAGGCTGACCTTGGGACTCCAAGGAAACACAATAGCTAGGCCAGCAAAACTCGGAAAAAAAGAAGTTATGCTGGGGTCCACACAACCAGTAAGGGAAGGGCCGTCCAGGTATCCATGTATAAGTAGAAACACGTGAAATTTAACCTTGGCGGAAAGCACGGCTCTAAGCTACAGAAGAAAGGACGCTTCCATAGATCATGGAACATTTTTGGATTTTGTTTAGTTGTCCTTATCCCAAAACGGCCTGTAGTGTTGGTAAGAATAGACAAATTCTAAACGGATCCAAATTAAGCAGATATTACAGACTATGTGGAGTTTCCGCAGTCTATCTAAATATTGATTTTAAATATGCGTAGAAAAAGATACTATTCGTAAATGATAGTCTACTATGGCATCCGTCCTTCCACGTTGAAGAAAAAGAGCAAAAGTCCTTTCTTTAATCGTTGTCTTTTTTCTTCACCTTATCTTTATCTTTAATTTTCTTTATCTCTAATTGTCTAGTTTCATGCACCGCAGCTTCGTACGGAATTCCTTCAGCGTTTCATTCTGAATGTGTAATAGTGGCAAAAGGACTAGACAGAACGTATGTTGCCTGGGAGCTATGATGCATATCAGAAATATTCACAGATGCAAACTTTCGTCTTTATAGCAAAATTTCATTGTTTTTTGCTAACGCATCCATCCATCCCCAATCATATTTGCTAATTCTGGAATCGAAATCAGACCCTTTATTTCCTTCTCAGTACTGAACCTAACCAGTACTACTTGAACATGATCGATCAACACCAGAAATGAATGATTTGTACCTTTCTTGCGAAAGATGTAATAGACTTTGCTTCTCGCTGGATTGCATCGACGTCTACCTCACTAAGGTGCGGATACGGATATTGTAATTCTGAAACTTCAATTTTAAACTCACTAGCGTAGTAAACAATTACAAATATCAAAGAAATCTAGAAGAATCTATCAATGCAAAAGATTCAAGTAAAGAACTAATTATTCCCTCACAAATACTTATTTGTTGTAATCTAAACGGTCAGCACAACTACTGGAACAGTTACCTACATACTTAGATGGCACGTCCTCACTGGTTGTGCGGGCCTCAGCATAATCTCTGTTTTTCGGAGCTTTGCTGGTTTAGCCATTGTGGTTCCCTTGAGTCGAGGTCAGCCAGGCGAGTCTGCCCCAGGTCGTCACCACTACAGGCAGTCGTCACCCTTGTGGATCAAAGGGAAATTAGCCACCATGCGACGAGTTTGGTACCGGGACGGTGACGGACCCTGGTATTGGTTTACTCTTAGTTAGGATTCCTGATGGAAACGCCAAACTCCTTCTCAGCTTGGGAGACCCTTCCAAGGAGATAAATCCACCACTGTACACCGCAAGCTGACACCCAGGAACAGCTCTCAGCTACGATGAGATGGTAAACTGTTAGGAGGAATTACTGGAATACTTGAACTATTTCACAATGATAGTTTACATGTAAGTATATCTAGATTATCCATACATACAGTTTTACTATCTCGGTGAACATAAAAGTAAAGCAATGCAAAAGATTAGTCAAGGAATACGATTAACCTGACTTTAACGCACAGAAGACGTAACTCACTTGAAGTTTGTTCATTAGGTGACGAATCGAAAAACATGTTGACGCCCAGATCGTTATTGCCAATCTGAGTTGATGTCAGCGAACTTCCATTGTTCGTGCTCGAAGGTATTGAATGATGGGCACCAGCATCTCTTCGAATGAATTCCTCGATAGCACTCATGCGACTCACCATGTCTTCAAGTTGATTGTCAAGCCGATTGAATCTAGCACCACATTCGCTTCGAAGTTTCTTCATCGTTCGTAATAACTCCATGAAGAAGAAATGCGGCACTTCAACATTAGCACCTGTAAACTGATGGAGAATATTTAGCAATGAGATGCCTGAAAGAAATTCGAGGTATTGACCGGTATATCTTCCGTCGAACGCCTACATACATAAACCACTGGTAATTATTTCTCTCGTCTACTGGTCTCATCATCTATGTATAATGATCTTTACATTAATACCTTCGTTATAGTTGTTGTTGTCCGGTTCAGATGAAGTTGAAGGTGCCACGTCGTCATGGTTCGCCAGGATCCTAGCAGCAGCTACATCTGATATCTTAAGCGCTCCTTCACCATTTTCACAGGTTTCGACGCCTGGTTCGTGCTTCATCTCACTGGTCTCTAACAGCGACTCGTCTATCGTAGGACCGCACCCACTACGAGCTTCATCACCAGAAGCTTTCTGACTTTCGACAGGATCTGCTGGTCCACAATATCTTGACAATCTGTGGCAGTACTGGTCACATTGTGAGCGATTTTTACCAATGAATATGACGGTAACCTCTTTCTCGATGTCTGTTATGAATGCCTTAACACGGGATCCACATGAGACATTTCCGCTCAGAACGTCTTCTTCACTCACTACGGAGTATTCACGATTAGAGGTACATACGATCAGCCACATTAAAACTGAAATAACTTGATTAATTATGGCATACAATATCGATACGGCATTAGTCCACAGTACTGCCCGGAGATCACTGCACAACAAAAGTTTCGAGAACATGAATTGAATGGATACATCAGTTTACAGCAGTCCATAACAAATAACTTCTCTAGAGTATGAAAATCAAGGTACTATAGATCTGAAATGTGTTTAACTACACCAAAAGTACAACCACAGTGATGCTGAGATCCTTGAAAAACTCCGTACCACACGTATCTGCGGTAGGGAACGAACGCGCTATAACCACTTAGAGGGGATAACACGTTCATTACCACACCACGAAAGTCCTTCGTTTCGCTTGTCTCTCAGCAAGTTTACATTAAAAGCCTTAAAAAGAAAGCCAAAATATCCACCCACGTACTTCACTTGCCACTAAGGAAAGTACATAATTTAGCGATTCTGATACCTGGGAAATAACAAACTATGTCACCTCCTGGAATTGCTGAAAGGATTGACAAACAATGCCCGTGTATTCGATAACGTCGATATATTATGGGCTAACGAAAGCAATTGGGAAATGGACATATGTAAACGATATAACGAAAGGTTAACTAACCCAATGTTCCCAAATAAAAGCGAGTAGTACTAGGGCATGAACTTACCCATGCGCGATTTTCGAGACAGTGCAAAAATCGTCACTCACATGTGGGACTTTACTGTTCGAAGAAGACTGCAAGTCACACGATTCTTTTCATAAGATACTCATTATCAAATTAAGTGGATCAACACGGATGGTAAAATTAGAATAGTGAAATAGTCGAAAGTGAATCATTTCATGCATGGTGTTCAATATACGTGAATATTCCAAACTAGTTTGCTGACCGGGTCTCCAGGAAAATAAAAATCCGAGCTCATACATCATTCCTACTTCATTTCTCGGGTCTAGGACTAATATTTTTGGTACGTCAAAGTGTTAGAATTTTGCGATCACGACAAGATGCACTTGAATTCGAACCTTGTCATTATAGAACAGATTTCAACGGGTTCTCTAAGCTGAAAACCCCACACGAATACTTAATGCTAAACATTACCGATGTAAGAAGAAAGGAATGAACGGCTAGCGCTCGTTGGCTTCGTAATCTGAAATCGATGAACTGGTGCACCGTAGACGCCCTTCAAAGGACGCATATCGACACCGACAACGATTTAGCGATGAAAAACGTTCCCTTTTCAATATTAACCCGATTAACACAATACAAAATCGAAAACTAATCGAAACTAAGAGAAAAGTTCTGTGTAATGTGTATGGTATGACATCAATCGGACGCGTTTGACGCAATGACTTGAAATACCGTGCGGTGCGCACTCGATCGTTGGTTCGATCCCACGCTCCCGGCTCCGCCCGAGCTCACCACCCCCGGGGTCGGCAAATAGGTACCAAACTTGTTTAGTGGGATAACTTTTATCAACGAACTGATAATATTCACCTCTAACGATGTTTGATGAGAACGAATGCATGGCACGCCCTACAAGGATTGATTAACGCCGAAAGCTACGTCCTTTATCCCCTTAGAAATAGTCGGCTGTAGATAGCAGCTTGACACCTAAGAATTTGTAGCTATGCTGAGAAGATTCTAGAGCACTCGAAGATATACAAGTGGTCAGTATTACGATTTCGAAAATCCTGAACGCTTCCATCAAGTGAACTATTTAGTGCTGAAAGTTTCAGTGAGAAGATTGGATTCGGTTAGTCAGCGAGGAAACATAATGCTCACCTACGATGGTAACATATTAAAGGTTCACTGCAAATAATAAATGCGCTTATTATGTCTTACAATGTTGAGAAACGTTATCTTGTCTACAATGGGGCAACGCCTCTACTATTGAGGTACTGCTTACCTTCATTACCAGAATCCGAACGGCTTGGTATGGTAACAAAGACGATGAAAATTGGGTCTAATTGTGATGCCCTATTCACTCCCTATCGCTGGTTAACGGTGGTAATCCAGGGTTATCAGCTACGAAAACAATCGTCTGTTATTCTGAACTGCTACCTGAACAGAAATGTAGCGCTACGGTTATGGTCTCCACGTATTTGGAGTTGCCACTATCAACGCCAAGAGCAACTGAAAACCCTTGACATTCGAATATTGTTGAAAGAAATGAATCCATGTCAACTAACTCAACTGAAGATATGAGAATGATAAGTCGCGTTAACCTCAGAGCACACCACCGTCATGCTTACGAAGATTTCGCGCTCTAGTGCTAATCAGTGAACGACAACGTTATCCTAGCCCAGGATAGAGGTTCAATATTCTTCTACTGCGAAATCCTTTGGTAGTCTAATTAGGAGCGATTTGACCATGGGCTTTCTTTGGAGTTTGTCGAGGTTAGTTTCTCCTATTCTCGCACATAGGAGTATCGTCTTAGTTAGACGTTTCACCAGGTTTTCGATTAAAGTTGCACTCGTTGCGGGCGCGGTAAAGCTATCTATCGACAGTGATGTTTGGTCATTGGACAATGAAAATGTTGGTTTACATCCTTCGTATGCTAGATTTCTATCGAATATTTCTCTACAAGGGGTGCGTGTAGCGCAGTGGTCTGAAGCGCCCTGCAATACAGATACGGTTGATTCTCCGCACCAGGCTCACCAAGCCCCCTTTTTCACCGAGGTCGGCAAATTAGTATCGAACTTGTCCGGGAGGATAGCAGCACTGACTCGATACATCGGTTGGCAATCCCGAGTCATTTTAAAGCCAGATATGCATGCTGTTACCTCCAACGATGCTTGAGAGCTTTATCCTTTTTTATCCTTTAGTTTTGTGTATCCTACTAATGATTTGGCAGAGTAACGTGAAGACGTGATTCGTTTTAGGACGCATCGTATTTTACGCTTAGAATTGAATTTCAAATCAAATGTTTTTCATGCATCTTCGAGTTCCGTTGTTGAACAATTGTCTTCTGTGTGGTTACTTGGATGTAAATTACATGGAACGTTATTCTTGTTTTTTGTACATAAAGCTTCCCATAGGTGGGTTTTCTTCCAGGAATACGTTTTATGGTTAAAAGCTCACGGATGTGAGATAATAGCCCTTATTCGTAGTAATACTTGCTTATACCACGTGTTTATGTCAATATAAGCAGATCGATTATAATGGTAAAGTCAGAAAAAGATAAAGATCTCAGCGTTGATCAATTCCTGTGGGATGCGCATTGCATTCGACATCACTAAGCATCGTTTAGAGGTGACTGAATGCATGCATATCTGGCGTTTAGAATGACTCACGCTGGCCTGCCGATGTATCGAGACAGTGCTGTTAATGTTGCAGACAAGTTCGGTGCCAGCTTGCCGACCTTGGAGGGGTGGCTTCGTGAGCATGGGGCGCGAGGATCGATCCCATGTGTATTGAAGAGCGCCTCCTACCACTACGCTACATGCGCCCATGGTAAGCATTAAAACTAGTTGTCTCCGAGGTATTCCTCCACTTTAGTATTTCACAAATTGTTAGTGTGACATTCGATCACTACTTCATAAATTTAGGGCGCTAATCTATACAATAACGTAAAGAGGTATATCTTGCCTGGAACAGTTGTTTTCCCAAAAAAAGTAAGAATTCTATGTTTTTCCTACTTGATTGTCCTATTCTTTTTTGTCCTTAGCACTTTTTTTAAATAATAATTGGCATTTTAAAATTCAGATACCTTCCATTGATGAGGTTCAGTTGGATGTCGCCCAATGTTGGAACAATGGAATAGACAGGGTGAGTGCTAATGTTTGGTAATATCTTACTATCTCTCTACACTAGGACGCGTATAGCGCAGTGGTTGGAGGCCCCCTGCAGTACACACGGGATCGATCCCGTGCCCAAAGCTCACCAAGCCTTCCATTCCTCCGGAATCGGCAAGTTGGTACCATATTTGTCTAGGAGGATAGCAGCACTGACTCGATACATCGGCAGGCCACCACGAGTCATTGTAAAGGCCATTGACAAGATATGCACTCAGTCACCTCCAACGGTGCTTAGCGAAGTCGAATGCATGGCGCATCCCTCAGGGGTTGGTAAACGCCGAGAGTTCTATCATTTGTATTTATCTCTCCATCCTAAGTTGTTTCTGACTTTCAGAGGGCGATCTGTGCTTTTTCATTTTCTAAAATTACTGATGTAGGTTTGACACTGGTCATAAATTAGGTAACATTAGTCATTTCATTCCATTGAAAGACCCTGTAAGATATTTTATGCTGGTCTTAGGCACATCGAATTACACCAGATTTTAAGCTAATATCAGTTTCAATAATGTTGAGATAATTGCAAAACTCTGGACCGCAGATATCTGCGGTGGGAAACGAACGCGCTATTGTGCTTTTCGGGGTGTAACGCGTTCACCACCACACCATGCAGGTCCTTCGTTTCGCCTGTCCCTCAGCTAGTTCTATCGATCTCTACCATAAGCAATCACGCGTCAACGGGGTAGATCTGGGGAGCCCAAAAGGGCAATGAATCCACTTAAGCTGAAGTTTTAGTTATAATCACAATCTTAACCGTTTTATTTACTGCCTCCTCTTTCTAATCTCTCGGCATCAGAGTTTTGCAAATATCTCAGCATCATTGAAGTTATATTTCGTAATATACCCTACCGTTGAAAGGAGTAGGCAGTAAATAAAACGGCTAAGATTGTGATTATAAATAAAGCCTCAGTTTAAATGGGTTCACTGTCGATTTGGGCTCCCCAAATGAATCCCGCTGACGGGTGGTTGCTGATGGCAAAAGATCGATAGAACTAACTGAGAGACAGGCGAAACGAAGGACCCACATGGTGTCGTGGTGACGCGTTACTCCCAGGAAAGGACAATACTGCGTTCGTTCCCCACCGCAGACATCTGCGGTCCGGAGTTTTGCAAACATCTCAGCATCGTTGAAGTTACATTTCACAATATACCCTGCCGTTAAAAAGAGTAGGCAATAAATAAAACGGCTAAGCTAATATCAGTATTTTATCACTCACTGTACAACCAAATGAACTTCCATAGCGAAATGATATGTGAATAACATCTCTCATGCAAAATGTATTTCTATTTTAGGTTCTCGCCGCTATTCAAAATGCGCCATCAAGTCTCAGCACGGTGGTGAATAAGGCGATTAACAGCAAGTGAACGAAAACCGATAAAATAGTGAACTGTAGATCGTACTATTCATTTGCAGCGAAGTCATTTTGCTCAATAAATTTCATGTCTACTACTGTAACATTACAAAACCACTTCAAAAGACATCGTCATATATTTGAACTGTTCCTTCGTCAGAGTAGAGTTTTATATCTATTGCTCACTCAAAGTTAGAGTCGACATTATATATGAGCAGTCCTACAGAATCAGAGTTTATTTCCGCGGAAATTCTAAAGACCAATTGAAGAATCACTCGCTCTGTATGCTGAATACAGTACAATATGCAACAAGGCATTGCAGATCCAAGAATAGTGAATAACTGATATACGTACATATATCATCGAATAATTAACTATAGCAATCAAGAAGACCCCCGGATAATTTGCACCGATGGCCCACGTCGCTGCAGGTCTCGCATTCTGACGCAACCTAAGACAACAAAAACCTGGAAGGTCAGGTATAACAAAAAAAAGACAGAAATAATCACGGAGAACACCTCTACACCGTAAGCATCCGAATCGTTGGACAAGACATTGCTGGATACGCTAGCAC